TCTCGAGGTCGGCACCGGCATGACCGTAGACACTCCCGCCGCTCCTACGGCACCGTGTGGTCAACGGCAACCTCGACCTCGGCCGCAATTGCCTGCCCAGGCGAGACCCCGCTCGGTAGCCGGGGCATCCCAGACCCATTTGGTGTCCTCTCCTCGACCGAGTCAGAAGTCGACGGGCACCAAACTGGCAGCACCGGGCCCGGACTTGGTCTTGGGAGTTGAACCAGCGGCACCTCCCGAGGCCCTGGTAGCCAGCTCGGCCCCCTCGCCGGCACCGAAGGAGACCATAGCGGCAACTCTGTCTGTTATAGAAGAGGACTTTAAAGCTCACCAGGAGCTCCTCAAAAAAGTAGCCTCGAATCTCCAACTCCAGGCTGAGGAGATGGAGGAGCCGTCGGACCCCCTTTTCAATGTACTGTCCTCCTCTGCATTGGGCCGTGTGGCCCTACCTCTTCACCAAGGTGTGACCAACATATCGACTGCCCTGTGGAAGACCCCAGCTTCCTTGATGCCTATCTCCAAGAAAGCGGAGAGAAAGTACTTTGTTCTGACTAAGGGACATGAGTACCTGAACTCCCACCCGGCACCTAACTCCCTGGTGGTGGAGTCAGTCAACCATCGGGAACGCCACGGCCAGCCTGCATCCACCCCCAAGGACAAAGACGCCAAGATTCTTTTGACAGGAAAGTTTATTCTTCTGCGAGTTTTCAACTTCGGGTCGCCAATCACCAAGCCCTGTTGAGCCACTATGATTTTAACTTGTAGGGGTCTCTACCAAAGTTCGAGCCTCTTCTCCCGGAGTGGGACACGAAAGAGTTCAAGGCTCTGGTTGAGGAAGGGGCAGCAGTGGCGAAAGCAGTCCTCCAGGCCACCTCGGACACGGCGGACACGGCAGCCCGTTTTATGGCGTCGGCCATATCCATGCGAAGGGCGTCGTGGCTTCTCCTGTCTGGTCTGTCTGCAGAGTCTCAGTCTCTGATGCAGGACCTTCCCTTCGACGGGACAGTGCAGTTTGCGGACCAAACCGATGTTCGCCTGCATGGGATGAAAGACTCCTGTACCACCCTGCAAACTCTGGGCCTATATGTCCCGCCAGCGAGGCCGCAAACCTCCGCTCCTCCCGCTAGGGGCAGATATGAACCCCCTCCTAAGCGACTGAGGGAGCAGAGACGCAGGTCTCAGCGTCGGCCCCGCTCGGCCCCGCGACCAGGCCCCTCGAAGGGCAAGAAGCAGGGGAAGAGGCGGTTTTGACTCTTTGCGGGGGGCCACAGGGCCTGTTGCCACGGATGCCCCCCAGTCAATAAAGTTTGTGTTCTGCAACCGGTTATCTGCGTTCCGAGTGCAGTGGTCCCGTATAACATCGGACCAGTGGGTCCTCAGCACAATTTCCAGGGGCTACATGTTGCAGTTCGCCTCACACCCCTCCACCCCCCATCCCCTGCCCCGGGAGGACCTCGGGGACCGGGAACATGCCGCCCTCCTAAACCAAGAGGTGGCGCACCTTCTCAACCTAGGTGTGGTGGAGAGGGTACCGGCGGAATTTCAGGGCAACGGATTTTACTCCCGGTACTTCCTGATCCCAAAGGTAAAAGGCAGGCTCCGGCCCATCCTGGACCTGCGGAACCTCAACAAGTTTATGGTCCGCTACAAGTTCTGCATGGTATCCCTGACCTCCATCACTCCCTCCTTAGACCCGGGGGATTGGTTTGCGTCCCTGGACCTTCAGGATGCGTATTTCCATATCCATATTTTCGAGGGTCACAGGCGCTTCCTCAACTTCCTGGTAGGGCGGGACCGTTACCAGTTTGCGGTCCTCCCCTTCGGCCTTTCCACGGCCCCCAGGGTTTTAACCAAATGCATGGCAGTGGTGGCAGCCCACCTCCGGAGGAATGGGCTGAAAATTTTCCCTTACCTGGACGATTGGCTCCTCAAGGGCAGCTCCCGGTCCCAGGTGCAGGCCCAGATGCAATTCCTGCTGTCCACATGCGAGGGTCTGGGTCTAGTGGTGAACGAGGCCAAATCCATGTTGGTACCGGTTCAGCGCATACACTTCATAGGGGCTCTGCTAGACTCCCTAGAGGCCGCAGCCTCTCTTCCCCGGGACAGATTTGAGACACTCAAAGCTCTCTTAGCCTTGGTCACGGCCTTCTCTGTGACGACGGCAAGGGTGTGCCTTCAAATCCTAGGTCACATGGCAGCAAGCACGTCCGTGGTGCGACATGCCAGACTCAGAATGAGGCCCCTCCAACTTTGGTTGGCCTCCCAGTATTCCCAGTCCCGGGACAGCCTGGACAAAGTGGTCACGATGCCTCCCAACGTGGTGGCCGCTCTGCAATGGTGGTCCCTCCTGAGCAATATGCTGGACAGGGTCCCCTTCCGAGAACTCCCTTCCTCTCTAGACCTGGTGTCAGATGCCTCGGACTTGGGCTGGGGAGCCCATATAGGGGACATTCAAACCCAAGGCAGGTGGTCGACCTTGGAATTGTCTCTGCACATAAACATCAGGGAGCTCAGGGCAGTGCGCCTGGCGTGCGAAGCGTTCAGTTTGCATCTTTGCGGGAAGGTGGTCAGAGTCCTCACGAACAACTCGACCGCCAAGTATTACATCAACAGACAGGGGGGCACGCATTCCTTGGCCCTGTGCTGGGACGCCCGGGACCTATGGGAGTTTTGCATAGCCCACGATATCTCCCTACGGGCCTACCACCTACCTGGCGCACGCAATGTGCGAGCCGATCGCCTCAGCAGGGTGTTTTCCCACCAATACGAGTGGTCACTCCACTGGGAAGTCGCCCAACAGCTCTTCTGAGAGTGGGGAGCTCCCCGGATCGACCTCTTCGCTACCGCCCAGAACAGACGTTGCCCCCAGTTCTGCTCCAGGGCAGGGGCAGAAAAGGGGGCGATCTCGGATGCATTCCTCCTCCGGTGGTCAGACCAACTGTTCTATGCCTTTTCACCCTTCCTACTGATAGGCAGGGTTCTGCAAAAAGTAAAGGCAGACAGATCGAGGGTTATCCTCATAGCCCTGGATTGGGCCCGTCAGCATTGGTACAGGACTCTTCTGCAACTTTTAGCGGCCCCCCGCGGAGGCTGCCGCTTCACCCAGACCTCATCTCCCAGGAGAAGGGATGCCTTCTCCACCCCAACCTGGCCGTGCTCCACCTGACAGCGTGGTTGCTCCATGGTTAAACGAGGAGGAGGGAAGGTGCTCGGAGGATGTAAGACGAATTCTGCTGGAGAGCAGAAAGCCGTCCACACGGCGCACGTACTTTGCCAAATGGTCTAGGTTCTCCAGGTGGGCAGGGGAGCGGGGCGCCTCCCCATCTTCCGCATCCCTCCAGCTTATTCTAGATTACCTCCTGTCCCTTAAGACCCAAGGGCTAGCTCCTGCCTCCGTCAGGGTACATTTAGCGGCCATTTCAGCCTTCCACCCTCCAGTGCAAGGTTACTCGTCATTTTCCCATCAAATGACCTCCCGTTTTTTAAAGGGCCTAGATTGCGCTTTTCCATACGCCAGGGCCCCGGTCCCACAATGGGATCTGAACCGAGTGTTATCCCGCCTCACGGGTCCTCCCTTTGAACCCTTGGCCACGTGTTCCTGGTCCCACCTCCCATGGAAAGTGGCATTTTTGGTGGCTATCACCTCAGCCCGTCGGTTCTTGGAATTTAGGGCCTTGACCTCGGAACCCCCGTATACGGTTTTCCACAGCTTCGTCCACACCCCGCCTTTCTCCCGACGGTGGTCTCTGCCTTCCATAAGAATCAGGACATTTTCCTACTAGTACTCTGTCCTAAGCCCCATTCCGCCAATGAGGAACGCCGCCTACACACGCTAGACATACGTAGAGTGCTGGCCTTCTACCTGGACCGAACCAGGCTGTTCAGGAAGTCCTCGCAACTATTCGTTGTGTCGGCCGAGCGTATGGGGGGCACCAATTTCCACCCACCGCCTTTCCCGCTAGATCACCTCGTGCATATGCATGTGTTACGACTTGGCAGGGGTTCCCCTGCCTCCTATCGTAAAGGCACATTCTACGAGAGCGCAAGCCTCGTCGGCTGCCTATGTAGCCCACGTCCCTATCCAGGACATATGTAGGGCTACCACGTGGTCTTTCGTCCACACCTTTTCCTTGCACGATGTGATCGTCTCCCAAGTACGGGATGCTGCTGGGTTTGGTAGGGCGGTACTTCGTCCTGATAACCTTTAAACTCCTACCCACCTCCATCAGATATAGCTTAGAGTCACCTACTGTGGAATACACAGGAGCAATCACTCGAAGAAGAAAGGACAGTTACCTGTTCCGTAACTGGTGTTCTTCGAGATGTGTTGCTCCTGTCTATTCCACATCCTGCCCTCCTTCCCCTCTGTCGGAGTTGTCTGGCAAGAAGGAACTGAGGGTGGGGGGAGTGCGCAGCTCCCCTTATAGCGTGATATAGAAGCGCCACTCCAGGAGTCGCAGCAGTGCTCCCCTCCTACGGGTACTGCTAAGGGAAAAACTCCCGGCACCGGTGCACGTGGTGAGCACGCACACCTACTGTGGAATAGACAGGAGCAACACATCTCGAACGCCAGTTACGGAACAGGTAACTGTCCTTTTCTGACTATACAGATAGCAAATTATGATCCGTAAGTTAGTTCAGTTTGTATTGCAGAGGAATTAAAAATGGATTAAAGGAAATTAAACTTGTTTGTTCTTTATCTTAAATATTTTCTGGTACTGGTAGAAATTAAAAAATGTTCTGCCTGTTTGTAGTGTTAGATCAAAACAGGTTATTATAAATATGGGCTTTAAGTGTTGTAAATTCTAGGATTTATACAGCTGCAAGATTTGTTCCAGTTGACAGCTGTTGCTACAGTGTATTTCTCCCCTTCATTTGCATTGTGGCTTTGTTAATGGCTAGTCAAGTGAGAATTGAATTAAAGCTAAAATGATTAATATGCTTGCACTAAATGATCAGTTGAAGAACCATGAATAATCTTATATTTGTTTTTTGTACAGTAATGTTACAGCCTTTTGACTATGACCCAAATGAGAAGAGTAAACACAAGTTTATGGTACAGACAATCTTTGCGCCACCAAGCACTTCAGATATGGAGGCAGTGGTAAGTAAACATATTAACATGAATATGTTGCCTGCTTAAAATTCAGTTTCTGCTGTAATAGGTAAACATGTTATGTTCAAATTTAAGAAGCAACAGAAGGTCCTGTGGCACCTTTAAGACTAACAGAAGTATTGGAGCATAAGCTTTCGTGGGCCACAAAAGTCTTAAAGGTGCCACAGGACCCTTCTGTTGCTTCTTACAGATTCAGACTAACACGGCTACCCCTCTGATGCGTTCAAATTTAAGTAATTCTTACTGCGGAACAAAACTCAACAGACATTTTCTGAAGAACTCTCTGACTACTGTGAATAAGTGATCCAAGGTTTTGAATCACAAATGCAAAATCATGTCATTAGTGCTTCTGACTTGCTTAATGAGTTTTGTTTGAAAGTTATTTATGGGGCTTGGTGAATAGCAGGCAAATTGAATGTGAATGACGTGCGGATGAATTAGTTTTGGGTATTACAGCTTGGGCCTACTGATCCTTGCAGTCAGTTAACAGATAGTAAACAGGGTTAGTGTGAAGGAGTTCAAAGCAAGTGTGAAGTGGCAAGTTCTAACATGAGAATGGCATTACTGGATGTGAAAGAAGTTCAGCTGGGACAGAGTCTAATGGGAATCAAAATAGTCTGGTGGAGAAGATAAGCCGCTTTCTATAGGAAGACCAAGAAAGCAAAAATATGCACAAACTACAAATTCACTTTCCATTCTTGTAGAAGTAAGCACATACCTGAGGTTGAGCTGACAGATACGATTGTTGGGATATGTACCCTTTAGTCTTTGAAGTACAGGTGTTTTCTGGAAAGCATTCAGAGCACAGAGTATATAAGGGCTGTGTGGTCCCAATACCTTAGTTATTGTCACATTTAGCTGTTAGAGCAAATGATTTTGCCCCAGGCCTAAAGATCTCAACTTGAATTTTCCCAAGGCTTTCTCTTGTATATTTCATGTGTATTCGTTCAGTTTAGTTTAGTTATTGTTATAGTGGTACTAGGAGTTTTAGGCTTCTCATCCAAATTTTTTGAACCATTGCACAGGTAGGCTTGATTCCATTGCATTCTTGGCATCAGGAGTCTTCTAGCCGATGCAGTTTTCAAAGACCTGGAGAAGATACACCAGTTAAACCTGGTCATTTCATACCTCTCCAATATTCCTAGGGGGCAGGCTGATGTACAATAGCTGTTTGATTTTACATTGGGGAGGTCCACTTTCTAGATAGATGCTTCATGTACAGGACTTGTATACCTGGGGCCTACCTGGATATATCGACACACAATCCAGGCTTTCCTCATGATGCAGGAATTAGGATTCAAGGACCCACAACTAACTTCAGATCAAACAGTTGGTTGTGCTATTCAGAAATTCCCAAGTTCTGAAAGCTGGCTCAAAAGACAGATTACTCACTAAAGCCATGTACAACTGGTGCTGGAGAAAGAACTGATCTGAGCTGGTTGATTCTAGGACCCCATTTATACTGGAATGTTCATCAGCACTGTAGAAGCCTCTTTTCAAACATGGATTCTCTGCAGTGACTGGATCCCTAAGTATTAGGGATTCCCTCACTGCTAAGGAACCCTGAAGGTCAGGAAAAGTGCCAGGATCCCATTGGACCCATCTGAGTCCTCAGCCAAGGCTCGATTCCTGTAGAGGTGTTTATTCTGCTCTCTGCTCCCTTTAAGAGTAAAGATAAGAACACTAACACTGAGAGATCTTGTGTGCTGGAGCACTGTCTTCTAGGAAGAAAAGCTACCATCACAAATCCAGGAAGTGGTGGATGGTCCATATTTCTGGAGATATTTGTTCCACTACTGTTAGTTCTGAAGGGTGCTCTAACCTCAAGGCCTCAATGTCTCCTTCAGGAGGCGGAGAGAAAGAGAGTCCCCCTGGCCCCAGGGATCTGGTAACCATGTGCCTTCAGATTCAGGGAATGGGTCCAAGAACTTGCTTGGTTAGCCATGGTGCACTCCCTGGGTAACTCAGAGTAGACAAAAGGGCAAAGGCCATAAACCAGGTTTTACAAAAAACTAAATTCACTGAAGCTCAGCAGGCTTGTAACAGAATTGAGTAATCTGTAACTGGTTAATATTTTATTGCTTTAAATGTTGTTCCCTTGGGAATAATTTGATCTCCAATTCAGAGGGAATTGACTTTCGGAGTGTTGGGCCATTTTTCTGCAGCAAAGTGCCCATGCTGGAACCAGCAGCTCAAAAATTGAGCCTAGGGAATTGCTCTGTGTCCATACACAGGAGCAGGAGACCCAAGGGCAGTTATTTGTTGAGGTGTATATCTTTGTAGAACAATTACAGATAAGTAATTTTAAAAAAGTGTTTCAAGGTGGAGGGACATGAAGTAGCCTCCAGAAAGCTACGTTGTTGTCTGAACCGCTTTTCTGTCTGGCTAGGATTATAATTTGTTTGGTATAAACTAACTTTGAAATATTAAATCTATTCCCAAAAAATCAAATGGCTTATGAAAGACGCACCGTGTATTTAAAATGGACATCCAAAAAATTATATCTTACATACTACAATTTTCCTCAACTCATTTATAGAAAATCTTGATATATCACAGGGTTTCAATATCAGATCAGTGCTGAGTGGTGCTTAATATTATTAGTGTCCTGGGATGCCTTTATAAACATTCTTTATATTCTATTTAACAGATAAGACAGTATGTAATACCTCTTTGTGTTCATTAGTGTGTCATGGAAACACTTTTATTTCTATTTGGGAGTGATTTGACTAAGCTCTGCCCCCTAGTGGACATATACAATTTTTGTGGCTGTTCTGAATCTTAAAGCTTGTAGGGGGCCATTTTTGTTTACCATTCTTAGGAGGAAGTCTTGTGACTGTTTTTTAAACTTTAAATGCTTACTTAGCCATAAAAAGGGTGTTTTGCAGCAGAAGAGGGTTGGGAATAGTTGTGGATGTTTTCAAGAATTGCAGCTGACATCTGGAACTCAGTAAGCCTAAGACATATTTTAAGTGGCAGTATTTTAAATACCAGTTATCTGGAAGGAGGGGATATTCCAGCCTTTCTTATAGTTGAGTATATTTGACAGTGTACTATAATTCAGAATGTTTGAGCTGCTATGAAATATTTCTATAGACCCAAACAGTAATGTATTAAAAGCTGCAAAGTGGTAATTAGTTCAGAAATCTAGGGTAAGGAGAACTAATTGATTCATAGATTCCAAGGCCAGAAGGGACCATTATGACCCATCTAGTCTGATCTCCTGTAGTAATAAAATTACTCTGAAAGGTGTTTTTGAAAATATAGGATCATGTTAATGAGATAATACTGCCATTATAAAATACAGTACAGACTTTTCTGTATCTTAGCAAAACATCTTTTAGTTCTTTGCTTTTAAAATCAAAAGTTGCTTCATAAGTTGCATTCTGTTTTTAATCTTTATTTACAGACTTTAGTTTTACACATCTCTAGCTTCCATTATTCATTATAATTTGTAGAATAATGGTGTTGAGAATTGTTTAAAAGCTAGAGTCTGAAAATTGTAGCTGAAATAAAAGCAATATTCAAACTTGAGAATTGAGAAGGTATAAAAGCAAATCACTTAGGAAATGTCTGGATTTGGTTTGCATGAACCTTGTATGTTAAATAACCATAAAAATTGTCATTTTAGTGGAAAGAAGCAAAACCGGATGACCTAATGGACTCCAAATTGAGATGTGTGTTTGAAATGCCCAACGAAAATGATAAACTGGTAAGTCAGAAACTAAGTGATGTTATATTAGCCTTTTAAGATCTTGCAGCAATTTCAGTTTATCTGAGTGTTTTTAAAGATGCTATGATAATAAACATTGTGCTGAATGTCCCAGATACCAAAAGTAAGAAAATTAGCAAACGGGTAACTTAATTAAAAAAAAATAGTTTTTTCTTAACCCCTAAACACATTGCTAGCTGGCTTTTTGCTTTTTGTTTTCACTACATGATATGGTTTTACAAAATCTGAACATGCTCTTGAGATAAATGGTTAGCTCTGAAATATTGGAGCCATATTTTTTAAAAGCAACCAAACTTACCCTGTACTATTCTCCATTGGGGTTCCTTGTATTTTTATACCTCAGTATAATACAGGCTATGTTGTCTAATGCAGAGTGTACTTGTCATCTAACTTGAATAGACCTGGAAATAGGGGAAGGAAGGCAAATTTAACATTTATTTGACAAGTGTCCCTCTTTTTATCCTATAGCTTTTATTTCATATTCCCACATATTCCCCTTTTACCTTAATTAACTTTACCATTCTGGCGATGAACTGAATTACCGTATATACACAATTATAAGCCGGTTCGTTTATAAGCCGCCCCTTCCCCCCCATGCCCCCAAGATGGATAGGTAAAAATGGAAAATAATTCAGGGGTCAGCAAACTTTGGCTCCTGGGCCATCAGGATAAGCCGCTGTTGGGCCGAGATGGTTTGTTTACCTTGAGCGTCCGCAGGCACGGAGGTAAACCTAAGTAAACAAAGTGTCCTGGCCCGCCAGCTGCTTACCCTGACGGGCCGGGACAGCAACTGATGGGGAAATTTTTTGGGGGGAGAAGCTGGGAGTCAGGGGAGTAACCCCTGTGACCACCCCCCATATGACCCCACCCCTAGCCTGGGACACCCACACTCTCCCCATCCCATCCCTTCCCACCTTATCTGGGGAGGGTCAGGGGAGGATGTCTCTGGCCTGGCTGGAGCTGCTCCGGCAGGCTGGGCAGCACAGCTGCAGCCTGCTCCGGTGGGCCAGACCAGGCAGCGCAGCCACAGCATGTTCCAGCGGGCTGGGCCAGGCGGTATGACCGCAGCGTTCTCCATCAGGCCAGGTGGCACGGCCCGGCCTGCTCTGGGGGGTGGGGCCGAATGGCACGGCTGCAGCCTGCCAGCCCCGGAGCTACAGCTGCTTCAGAGGCTGGGGGGAGAGCAGTGTGGCCAGAAGTGAAGAGACTCTAGCCCCAGCTCTTCCCTTCTGGTTCTGCTGGCTGTGCAGCCTCTCCTT